CGAGTATCCATCTATCAGCTAAACTTCATCTTTGTGGACTTCAGAAACATATGCAAAATAGGTTATCGACCATGCTGAATCTTGTGATAATGTTTCTTTTTGGAAAAACTTCAAAAAACTAGCGAACACCTATCCCTAGTGGAAATCGAGTATTGAGTACTCGGGCTCGTTGCATGCCTGTAGGAGACAAAGAAGGAAAAGTTGTAAAATCTCTCTCTTATCACGTAGGATATACAGTTTTCACTGGCAAAAACTATATTCGTGTGTTTCTACCTGAAAATGTTGTACCCGTTCTCCGTTCCAGTCAAACACACGATGAAATTATGCAATATATGACCACAGTTGACAAGACCACTCTCCGTTCAAAAATTGAAAAAGACAAATTCAATGATGAGCGAAAAGGTCACAATGGTCCTTGCGAACTGCGACCTCGGAAATATTTTGAAGTTGGTTCAAGTTTCGTAAGCGACAGTCTACACACTATCTACGCAGGAGTTTTTGTAAGTATCCGCGAAAGTAAATTAAATGTACCAAAACCTTCCTTTGTTTTAGAAAAGAATGGTGACTTTATGGCTATCGGCAAAATACAAAAAAGAATTATACTCTCGTCAACAACACGTCAGACAACTAGTCAAACGATTGAATCAATTCAAATATCTGAGTACAACCTACCGATGAACGTCAAATGTTGTCAAATGTCCACTCTCTCTCACATGTTACTAAAACATTAGCCGAGTTTGTACAGTTTTCGAATTATAGTACCTTCAATTTTGAGTCGTTATTAGGTACGTATAAAGACAGAGACAAACTAATTGAGACTACCTTTTTTCTAGGAATAATCACCGCAACAGTGACTGGCAACGAATTGTTCGGAGAGCAAATTGCTAATAATCTCCAACTACTCAAACTGATTAACACAAACATGGCAACAGGTGCAATTAATTCAAAAATTCAAAAACTCATGGTATCCACGACCGCAAGTAAATATCAACAACAGCTACTGAACCAGACACAAGGGCGAACACAAAAACTTAGAGTAAAACATCCGACAACTGGTCAAAAGAGTCATACCAATCGAATTATTAAATTGTTTAAAGTTAAACCAAATACAATCGTCGAATATTATTCAATATTGTTTCTCAATGCATTGCGATTTACAACGTACAAATATGCTGACGAGAACACAACAGACGATTCCAACATCCTATTTGAATGTGGAAAATCAGTCAAACCGGCCAAAATCATACACATTTTCAAAATTAATACTCGTGTTTTGTTACAAATAATACCATTAAACGAATGCAACCTATTAAAATTTAAATTTGAAACCGAAACATTTTCAATGCCCAACGTCTTTGTTGGCAAATTTCAGTTAGAAAACATTTTGTACATTGAACCTCAGCAAATAATAGAAAAATTAGCAATATACAAAGATCCAACGTTTCCATACGAACTTCTTTTTCGTTTTCCAACTCTTGTAGAGAATACATAAATCATTCAAACAAAATAAATTAATTTTAAAGTTCTATTTGGGCTACACGAATTGGAAAGCTGAGTGTGCATATACCGATCTGTTATACCTAAAGGTCCCTCTCATTTAGTTTTGCCGATCAGAATGGAACAAAGGATCATCTCCTATGCTTTCATTTGTCTAAAGTAAAACTAATAATAGTAGACAACAGAAATTGAGAGATAGACTAGCACTGCAGTAAAACACATTATTTCTCTGCTTTTAAGCCTTTTTCAAAGCTTTAGCTACAATTTAAATCGTTTTTTCTTCTCTGCGGGATATAGAGTAGCGTTATTTGGTTGAGGATGACAACTATACAGAGTGGCCTGGAATGGCGCTTGTAAACAGTTGCAGGCCTTCGAACCGCCTATGGCATGCGAAGGACTTCGCGATATGATAGCTAAGGCGTTCATATTTAGTGAAGAACAAAATAGGCGCAATAATGAATTTAAGTACTTACGAAAAATTGGAATGAATGAACATGCCTTGATTTTTAAAGCATTCCCATGCATTAAATGACGATGACGGCAAACAGTTGTTTACATGCCTTCGTATCGTTAACTTGCCCAAACGCGTTCAAAATTATTATTCTGCTAACGCCTTCTACTTGATGTATGAATTTAAGTCAGTTGAGAAACAGCAAGGCGTTCGAACGCCTTATTTTATAACGCTTGAGAAGCCTTAGAGCCCGAAAAAGTTTTCTGAAGATGCTACAATGCATTAAAATTTCACATACATTATAGACGTTTATAAAAATAACGCATACGAACGTCTTTAGTTCACATGGGTAGCTCCAGAGAACGCATTAAAAATCTCAAAGTCGTGTAAAGCCTTAAAATGTATCAGAAGAAGGTTTTTAAGGCCTTGAAGACGAAAAAAAAATTTTTAATGCGTGCAAAGGACTTGCGAGGGGCCAAAATTTCTTCCTGGGTACAAACACGGATTGACAGCTATGGTAATAGTTGAAGAAACTAGCACGAACTGGATTGCAGACGAATATATATAAGTGAAAACGTTTACATTCTTTCAACTTGAATTATATACATGGTCTTTTCATTGTTACATTTTAAATATATTCGAGAAAAGAAATAAATTATAACCGCTGTATTCTCTCTTCATGACACCCATTAGTTGTTTTTCTGATAAAGACGTCACTATACATAAGAAAAATAAACTATCATTAATCATGTCAAAACCTATGATGATTTTATTCAAAGAGAAATTACAACGGACAAGAGAGGAATAAGCCATCTTCAGTCACATTTCGAAAAAGGATATGTATTTACAGTATAGAGATGAATTTTATGAAAAATCCAAGATTTCTGAAAACTAGCCCAACACAGTGCATTTTTCAACTACCTTGTTGAAGGCCCATAGCCAGGGGGATGCCTGTTGTGCCCAGGTACACCCCATAAGTAAAAATTGCTATTTAACTTCTAGGAATCAGAACCGGTACAACCAAAAAAAGAAGATGCAAGAAAACCGGTATATCGATTCACATCTATAGTGCACCCCCGTTAGCAAAATTCTGGCTATGGACCTGCCTTGTTGTCTCAATTTTCTCAAATCATCTTACACTAATTTCGATGTTATCAGATGCAAATTAATTTTGAAAGAAATGCAGGTTCAAACGATACATAACGAATCAGCAGAAGTGAAAGTTTTTGTAATGCATTATCTTTGCGAATAACCTCATACATCAGGATAACGGGAGAAAGATAATGATGATTAACAAAAATTAGCTCGTTTGACTAATGAATGTCTACGTGAAGATTTAAGACGTAGAAATATACAAATAATACGATCTGATCAAACAAGCAAATAAAGACAATGAGTGATCGCATCATATCTTTCCATATTCTGAGCAAAAAAAAATAAATCTGTTTAAAACAAACAGAATTTTTTTAGAAACAATTTTATTTAGAATAAAAGCAATTACAGTAAACTTAGAACAGACGTAGAATTAAAACATCTATATGTTTTTGTCTATTATTCTGAAACTTAAATACATATTTTTATTTCGTACATTATACTTAATACAAATAATTCTGGAAAGTCGAATAATACAGTTAGTTTTCAAGCAATAAAAGAGAAAATTAAATACGCTTCTTGCGGTTCCTGTTTACCCATCTCAGATACAGTAAGAAATATACTTGACTTGTCACTGTGTTTAATTCCACCCACAACGAAGGATCAATATATCTGAACCCAAACACCATCATTTTATCGCCACAATTAATCATCTGTGACTGCTCGGTGACAATTAACTGCTTATACCGTAATAACGAGTATAATTAGAATTTTCTACACGTTCGCGTGCATACGACACAGCAGAACATCAGTTCACAAAATTCAACAATTTCGTCCTTATTTATTAACTCCATTAATTGTATTTATAACTTCGTAGGTGTGTCTATGGAATTTTTGTACATAGAATAACTGCTCAGAGCTATTAATGATTCTATTAATGATCAAAGGGCTTTGCGATAGTAAACGAAAAAAGACCCACTTTTTATAATTTTAGCACAATGAATAATATAATATCAATTATTCAGTCGTTAATAAGTGGTGCTTTTAGTTATGATGACGGATTCGACAGACTCGGTCGAAGATTTACGATCGTCATTTTGTCATCAGCATTCGTTTTTTTAACAACAAACGTATATTTTGGGTAACCGATCGAATGTTTTAGTAGTTATTTACGACCGCAAATGTATGTTTCGTACTTGAACAATGAATGTTAGTTTCAACAAAACAGGTACGGATATTTAATAACACTCAGTCTAAAGCGAAATTAAAAGATGGTAAGAAAACGACATTATGCTTACAGGTACAAAGCTTTTTACCCACTTTTAGTTTTTATTTTCAATGGGCGCCATCGTTGTTGTTTTGTGCTATATTGCTGCTGATTTTGCCACATATTCTATGGAGGGCAATTTTACAAGCAACGGGAATTTATCTTCACGGTGAAAGGATATGGATTCGATCGAAGAAAATTCAGTCGATGATTTTTTTGGAACAATTGCTATTTCGTACAAAACAAGTGAAATATTTGTACGTTTTCATTGTTTTGTTCATAAGTACTTTGAACAACATCGATCGATGTAGAAGTGGATAAAAAACCGTTCATGAAGATAAGAATATTTTTATTTGTTAATGATGTTTTTTTGTTATTTTCAAACTTCCTCGTATCTATTTTCTCTGGGTGATAAAATGTTTTGATCAGGGGTGCCCCGATTCCTCGGAGGCAGGGGAGGGGCAAAGTCAATTTCGGAGTAAATTTTTATGCTTTTAAAAATTGGAGTAAAAATAAAAAAACAAAGATAAATATTCTAAGCAGTTTTCTTCTAAAGCAAGACTGACTTTCCTTCTATCTAACTCTATATACTTCAGCACAAAGCAAATTAAAGTAAAATGTGTCGTCCTGGTTTCATATCTCTCCATTTTTGCACTAAAAGTTGTATATTTAACTGATCAGTAAATTCTGTTTCTATTGTAATAATAGTTGCTCTAATCGATCATCTTTCATTTGTGTTCTAAATCTATTTTTTATTATCTTCATTTTGCTGAACAACCGTTCATTATTTGCCATAGTAACAGGCATTGTTAATAAAAATTGGAATGCTTGATAAATATGTAGTAACAATGATTTTCTTTCAAAAATAAATTTAGCTGCTTCTTGTAAATTTGTTGTTTCTTCTGCTAATGTATGTTTTATTAACTGTGTACTTCTGAATAAAGTAACTCGTGATGATTAATACCGGCCATTAAACTAATATTTTTAGCATCATGTTGTGTAAAATCTAATATACGTTTTGGATGTAATTTTGCTGTTGATTATACATTAGTACCTATTGAAACTAATATTATATTATATTCTGATACCATATGATCAAGAACTTCTCGAAAATTTTTAATATAATAACCATTTCTAAACAGATTAAAATAACAAAATGCTTCCTTAAAATAATGAGTCACATTTGTCGACTTAGCAAATAGCATTTCATTCTGAGATGGTTTCAGATTTGCCAGTCAGCAATAATAAAACTGAGAAAATTAAGATACTGTTCTGAACCACAAAAAAGAATTATGTGAATATTTTTACCTTGTAAATACATGAGCAGTGCTAGGATTTTGATCAATTCTTCTTGGTGGTCTTCTTGGTCGATGATGTTTATTAAATTCTTCATCTGGATTAATATCATACGATTTTGACCAATTCTCAGCAACTGTTATTATGTTTTTCAAATTATTATCATCATCACGTTCACGTTGCAATACATTTATTGTTCCACTAAGGATTTCAGCAGCAGTTATCACATCTAATTTTGTTCGTTGGAATTCTGTTGTTAAAGCATTAGTCATAGACATAACATTTTTCATAAAAATCAAATAACAAATAAAATTAAACGTTTTCATATTCTTCACTATTGATATTCCTTCTTTACGTGTATCTTGATCAAATGCTTTATCATCAATTATATCATCTAATGCTTGAAATATTTCTCTATGTGATTCATAAACTGCTTTTAAAGAATCAAAACGTGCTGTCCATCGTATGTTTTTGGTATTAATGAGAATATATTTGATTCATATTTTTCATTAAGAACAGACAATCTAAATGTAAAATAAATTGTTATGAACTTTTGTTTTGTGAAACTATAGTCCATGGCGAGTGAACTTAGAAAACAAAGAGAAAGCTCACCGTTTTGAACTTGATGTAAAAAAATTATATAAAGTTTGTAATATTCCAAATAAACATGTTATATCTAAACTAGCGTCACAGGCATGTTTCAATGCTGTATTTGATCGATGTGCAGAACATGGTATATAAATTATATGTTTTTGTAATTTTTCACTAATTTTTGCCTGGACTCCATTAAATCTCCCACTCATATTGCTGGCAAAATCATATGATTGTGCAATTAAATGTTCTGGATTTAAATCAAGTTCATTTAATACTTCCAATATATGATCAGCCAAGCCATCACCTATACAAAACAAATAAGAACATGCTATAGATAGAAGTACAAGACTAGGTTCTATAAAAAGCTATCATGTTTTGATCTAGTTACCTGTTTTTGAATAAAGTTCTTTTATAGATACAAATCTTTCTTCTGGTATAAGTTGATCATTAACGAAACGAATAACTAATGTAAACATGTCTTGTCTATTTGAATCTGGTGTAGAATCAGCCATTATTGAATAATATGTACCTTGTCTAATTCGATTTAAATTAAGGCGTTGTATTTCTTCACCAATAATTTGAATAAATTCATTTTGTGAACGATGACCCATATATGTTACCTAAAATGGAGAATTTATAGTATTAAATAACGTTGAAATTATAGACTTAGAGATACCTCAAGCTATTAAAATGATATTTTTTAGAATGATAGTGTAAAAATTAATTACTTTATATGAACGATTTTCAGTTTCATTTAACCAACGTTGTAAAACAGGATTATGTCTCGATAATAAATTAACAAGTTGAACAAAATTACTTTCTTCATCCGTGTGTCCTCTAAATGCTATATCTTGACGTGCTAAATAACGAGCACAATCAATTAGTATTTTAATAGCTTCTTCATTTGATTTAGCTAATTGAACTTTTTGCTGTTGTTGTTCTTGTATTTTTTTATCTAATAGAATATCAATATTATTTTGACGATGTCGAAAATTTAAATAACGTTGTAAAGATGATGTATGTGTTTTACTTTTAAAATGTGTTTCAAATTTGCCACCACGATTTTGGCCTTTGCTACCTAAAAACTCAACAAATAAAACAAGATCTCCATCATTATTTTGTAACAAGACTAGAATGAAACTTTTTCAATACTCACATGTCAGTTTGTTCCAAGTATTCACACCAGTTGTAATCCAGGCTTCTTCTTTTTGCTCTGAACCTGGACCATCGGCAAATAATCTGCATGAAAAGCAAAATAGTACATCTTTTGATGGACTATATTCCAATAATGGATATTGACTATACCAATTTTTATTAAAATGACATGTGTCTTGTTTTGCTTTTAATGTTTCATTAATTGGGTATGATGATAATATTGGCTGATATGGACCTTTTTCAACTAAATATCGAAGTTCTTCTTCATTAAATTTTTTGTTGAATGCTGGATCACGTGTTATTGAATCTGTTTCTATATTTTCAATACGAATATTAATTGGTTTTATTTCATCAAGAGCTTTGTTACATGTATCTAATAAACCTGACATTTCGTGTTCTAATGATTTTAAATATGATGAAGCTTCAATTAGAAATGTTTTATCACTAATATTTGAATCAAATGACATATCAATAAGTCTAACTGCTTCATTTTTTTTCTCAATAAGATATTTCAATTCACCACCAATTTGACCTCTAATACTTATTGTATTTAATTCTTTCATGTTTACGTTTTCATTTATCATTGACATTTCTTGCTGTTCAATAGATGACATATTATTTGTATCATATTGAGAATCAGAAACATCGTTACATCATTTTGATCAATATCACATACATCAGCAGTTAATTTTTTATTTAATGTACTTTCCATTGATTCTGGTTAATTATTGATAGATGAAGTAATTTCGACAACATCTGTTGTGAATTGTAAAGGTGGCTCTTCCAGCGCAGAAAAAACGATGATATTGTTGTTGTTTGTTTTGTTGTTGTATTAATAGCAACATTTACATTTTCAATACTGGCTTTTAATTTGGATAATTGTTTTTGATATTTTTCTTCACTATCAACACTACTGTGTTTATCAGTACAATGACGTTTAAAATTTCTAACTAATACTTGAGTAAAACATAAAGGACAATGTCCAATTTGATTACTTGACATATTGTAGCTTAGGTTTAAATCTTCCAAGCAGAATCACGGTACAATTAAATTAAAAGAAAATGAATACAAAACAAGACCAA